GGGCCTGATGGCCCGAGTCTCGCCACGTAAAATAAGGCAAATTCAATTCAATTCAAAAAAAAGGTTTGACGTCTGGAAATGCGGACCCTACGAGACATTTCTAACAGAACACTGACCTTCAACACTGCTTCGCTCTGTGCTCTAGCCGCATGCTCTGAATGCAAATTTTGTATTTATTGTTTTGCAAGGCTTGCTCAGCAGCCCCGCGTGGTCGTGTGCTAGCTCTTCGGGAACCAGTGTCTTTTGTAAACTTCTAGTACAACGTATCACGGAGATGGACAATCGTCTGCTCTAATAATTAGCTTTAAATGAAAAACGTGGGAAAGGGGTGAGAAAGAAAAAAAACATTGCAAATAAATTCGGTATTGCTCCAAGTACGTTTTCAACGATTTTAAATGACAAAACTAAATTTCTTTACACAGTGGAGGAATCACGTTTTGAACTTCAAAGAAAAAGAATGAACTGTTAAAGTTCCCCACAGCTGGAGGAAGCATTCTTTCAGTATGTGAAGTGTTCTAGGGACAAAAACATTCCAGTTCACGGTTTATCAATTAAGGAAAACGCAGAAACACATGCTCAAGAATTAGGAATGAAGTATATTCAATCAAGTGCAGGATGTAACACTTGTCAAGACCAAACTTCATGCGTCATTGCTACAATTTTTGGTAGCAGCATTTGGGAGAGATTCACTTCAATATTAGCAAACACTTTAAGATCATCCATGTAAAACAAATGTGATACTGGTCTTTCATCACCATGGAACTTGTAACCAAAGTCAGTGCGCGATAACTGTCTAGAAAGTGGGATTAAACAAATGCACAACAGCAGAGGAGATAGTGAATCTCCTTGAAAACATCCTCTGTTAATCCGAATACTTCGTGTTTCTACTACTTCTCTGTGTACTACTACTCTGTGTATTAGTAATCTGGTACTCCACGACTTTATACTATACTAGTAAATCTCAATACATCTAGGATGAAATTGACAAATCTCCAGGATATTCAAAATCCAAACATGTGGTACACAATCAGAGACTTTCTATTAATTAATCCAACCCATGCCCAAATTTGTGTTTTCTAAAACTTTATTAACAGATTAGTATGTAATTCTGTTAATTTCATAATTCAGTAATTCTGGATCTTATTAATCACGGGGAATTTCCTATTTCCCATGTTGTGAATTGCTTTGAAGATTTCTTCCCACAATTTGTGAACCACTGTTTCCACGAGTTCATCGGCAGGATCAGCTTCAGATTGAAGCCAAGATGCGTCGTTGTTGTAGGATCTTCTTTCTTCCCAGATTCCTGGCCAAAATGTTTCGACGTCATCTTTGGAAGGAGGGGCAGAATTGCCACTCTGTTTTACGTCAAGTTGCGATAGAATCGGTTTGCATCTGTTTCAAACAACCGATCCTGTACACGGAAATCTTCTCTGTGTTTGGAACGACTAATTGGTTGAGCCATGCTTGGATTTTCTCTTTTAGCTTCTCGGCTACCATGAGTCTTGTTGTGTCATTTTCAATTTTGTATTTTAGTTCAGCATTGAGTATTTTTCATTGAATTTTAGAGGTGTTCATGTTCATGTAGAAGAGGCCGCGACCATGAGTGATATTTCACAGTGTAGTTTATCCGTTTCATAATTCTTTTCGCTCATGGGGATACGCATGTTTACTCTGTCTGGCAGCCTGTCGAGGTTCTTTTCTGGATCCAGAATTATCTGAGATATCAGATATCCAGTAATATACACGATGTAATTGATTTCAACGGTATCTAGATCTCTACCTGGGGTATGTACGAACTCATTTATGACAGACTTTGCTGTCAATATCACTTCTAAGCATTCATCTCTTAGCTTTAGCGCTTTCGTCTATTCTCCTCAATGGTGAACGAAATTTGAATGGAAGTAGACGATCTCGTTCTATCTTGCGTCGAATGAGGTTCTGTATGCTGTCTTTATCGTGTGGTCTACAAACAGATGAATTTTCATAACTGAAGGCTGTTGGGAAGAGATGTTCCTTCAAGAGGACCATCGCTTTCAAGGATATAACATGGTTTTGAATGATATCGTAGGCTTCTGCGACCAGAGTCATGACATGGTTGTGCCCGACTGGCCGTCACCTCGGCCTATCACAGCCTGGCCCAGCCACTATATAAACCGGAGCGCTCCTGGCGCAGTACAGCCCTGAAGAGAACCGCGATATTTCGTCCAATCGTCGACACCTGTCTTCGAAGCGGCATCAGCCTGACAGCCCAGATCATGGTATTGATTTCGTGTGGAACTTCGATCGAAGAACGAATTCCGCAATTCCCCGAATGTCAGCGAGTTCTTCTGCTGTGGATTTTCCGCTACTTAGTATTGTAACATACCCACCTCATGATACGTACTGCAACGGCCAGGCGCCCGGCGTGCTCAGCGGAAGTTGCGAACATCTCCTTCCATGGCAATCATCGATAGCAGCCGAACAGTTAACAGATTTGCTCCCGGTAGAGATAGGGATACCGTCAAGAACCGTTTGTTCTTCTCGACGACAAATATTCGTATGTTCCGTCCAGCGAAGAGCTCATACCTCGTATGGCTGTTCTCCCGCGCAAAGTATTGAACTCATATAATTTTTCTCTTTTTCCAAACGAATTTGAGCAATTCCGCAACGCAGGTATCGCATCGGCGCCTTAACCGCGGATTTGCTGTGAATGTGGTCACATGAACTTGCTTCTAGATTGTTCTTTCGTTCTCCACATCTGATTGAGTGAAGGAACCTTCCTTTCCGCAGCTTTCACGACGTGACCTCTGGACAAAAGCCAAGATTTCTTTTTGTTCGAAAAGAGTTCCACGGTTATTAACGACAACCCACAGGGCGTAGAAAACCCTCGAGTTTTTGACGAAGCGGGGCGGCCGAAAGGGTTTGGGTGGCCAGGGTGTGATTGAAGACCTTTTTTCTGTAAATTGTACTGAACATGGCGTGTAAGACGCGTCGAGCCCCGAACGTGTTTAAGAAATTCTTCGGGATTTAGCGAAAATCTAATAGGCGTAACGCGGCGTTGTTTGCGTGTGTAGTTCGGTGAGAAATGAGGTTATTGACAAAGGGGGTGCTGCTCAGGGGCGTCATATAATACACAAATTTACTTCTAAAAAATATAATTTGTCCCAGGCGACGCGTGGGCGCAAGCGGGTGTGATAGCTCCTAGTCTGGACTACACTGGGTGCACATTTACGATCTTCTAAAGAGCTACTCGAGGGAGTGAGTAAGAGAAGGTTTTTAGGTTCAAAAGATCCATTTAATGAAACGAACGCGCCTCGAAATGTGATTGCGGGCGACGTCAGGGCCTGACACGCCGCAGTATGCATCATCGTTGACTGGAGAGCTTTGAATCTTGAGTGTCTCACATCTGAGTTCCACTTTCTTCATTTCTTGAAAACGTCTATTTTTGAGCCCACAGTTTTCGCTTTTGCCAAGTAAAAACCCGACATCACCGACTAATTCATCCAATATCTTTCTCTGACGATTGTTTAGAACTAGTGCCGAGTCTGCGTTTACTTACCATTTCAATTGCAAATTGTTTATAGGGTCCCGCAGTGCTCGATTTCAGGGCAGATTCTTTTCGTGCTATATGTAAACACAGCTCTTTTCTGATGAATGTATATATTTCGCATTTTAGGACCAGATTAATCAGACTTTTCCCACTTAGCATTGTTCCTGTGCCTGGACAGAGTATTTTTATCCACGTCTTGGGGTGAGGATGACATGTATGGAGCATGACGTATTCCTTTCCCGCGCTTGGTGATATCTTTCCAGCATGAGCTTTTCTTTCGTCATACAGATATGAAATCTAAGACGATTGCAATGGAAAGCTACAACTCTACTTTTCCCGTCAGGGAATCAACACATGATCGCACCACAAAAAGCTAAAAAGCTAGTACGCTGTCCATGAACAACCCGAGGGACCTCTTTGCAGATGCTGCGGTACTAACCCGAAAATGAAACCACCTTCTGGAGGACTAGAGTTTTGTTCTGAGTAATGAATCCCATAGCTTCCATCATTGCTCAAGGAGTTCAGTCTACCAATTTTCCATTCTTTAGAAGACTGTTAAGCCCGAGGGATCCAGTGCGCTGCTCCCGCTGCTGTCGACACATCCTCCCTCCAACAGTTGGTGGTAGGAGTCCACTTATCTCGGAAGCCACTCTGTCCCCAGGGCCGCGTTTCCATCAACTGTTTTGTACCCTCCCGTATTTCGTGGCGGTGAATGGAGTAGTTTCCGTCCGTTGAGAGTATAGCTGCACCCCGCGGGTAAGAGGGTCTAGTCTAGTGAAAGGGCAGCTGCACGCAGCATGACCAGAAATCTTGCATTCGATGAGCCCAAAAGCTTAAAAGCTTAAGAGATTAAAAGGACAACTGAAATAATAGTTGAAGAAAATAGGAGAATTTCAGAGCAAATTCGATGATGCATATTTCTCCTGATGACCAATGAAAATTCGTTCCACGTTGAAGAGTGGTCCGCATTCTGGGAGGACGGTTGAGGTCCAAATATGATTTTGCTCAACAGCGACTAATAGCTAATTTTGAATTGAAAAAAGTTATTTTACAATATTCCTAGGAGCGTGGAAAGGCTGAAGGGATGTACATTTTTTGGACAGCAATATTACGGAAAGTCATGAACCCGTCATTACGTACGTTCTAGGAAGGCATACAATATATGTAATTTCGCCGAATAGTGTATAATATTAAAATCTTATTAATTAGATTAATACATCTAAATAGGGGTTACAAGAAGTAATATTAATTGCAACTTATTTAGAATATACAAATAGGCATTGCTTCGGTATTATTAAATTATCAACTTTGGGAATTTTGATTTCATTATATACATTAATATTTAAAATAATGACATCGTTTCTCGTACCTCTCTCATGCTTGATTACATGACCAGTAATCTTTAACAGCAACTGAAGATCTCTGCACAAAGTTCAGTTCGATCACTAATTATTATGATCTGTAATTGCAGCAGGAGCCAAGCATCAGGAAGGGACAGACGCCAGCTTCGCTCTAACGATGAGTGCTGATCAGCATGACCAATACGACTCACAGTTTCAAGAGACTCCTTCCATTACAGGTAGGACCAACGCTCCTTGTCATAAAGAAGCAAAATCAGTAGCTGTTTCGAATGAAATGAATTACTCTTTCTCTTTTGTACAAACACTTCAGAAACTGGTAATCAACACCCATTCTTTTCCTTGTATATTGAAGAATATTCAAGATACCTGGCTTCCAACAGATGAATTTTCCTGGACTTTCATCAGTGTGCCAGTACATGATGATCAACGTCCTAATAAGGTCTTGAACCACCTTTAGTACGTAGAAGCACGGCCATTGGGCAAGGCATATTTTCATCGTGGTTGTGGAAGATATCTTGGGTAACAGTAATCGTGTGATAATATAACACGAAGCCACTTCTCCAAGTCGAACCACAAATGCTCAATAGAGTTCATATCCGAACTATTCGGAGGTTACGGCATTAATCCACTGCCGTGTGCCTTGAATCAGACCTTCATAATGATGTGCCTATCCACATTTCCTGTTGGAAGTGGCTGTTGCCAGTACGGACGATCGACATGAACGGATTAACTTGGTTTATCCGTTTCTAATTCCTTTCGTAAAGGAGAAGGTTGTCAGGGACTGTTCTAACGGAATAATGATCTCGAGTGTTGACTGAAAGAAACATTCAAACCATCACATCACCGGTCTCCGTCTAAGAGCGCACTCATGTCACATAGTCTCTGATGAAAACCGTCATACACCCTTACGGCCGTCGATGTGGTGACAAGGAACGGGCATTGATCGGATATGGTATTCTTTCTCCATCTATGGTCCAATGTCGAGGAGTTTATGCGTTCTTCGTGCGATATTGCCTGTAGTGTGCCTGTAGTCTGCATGGGGTACGGGTGGATCTTCGACTCTTCACACTCATCCGCAGTTGTTTGATGCAACGTTGTTGGATGAATAGTGTGATGTGGACATTCTCATTGGAACCGCTATTGTACGTGTGTACGATTCCTAGAACGGCTGTCGCTCCGACCACTGCACCGCCAGTGACCGCGGCCCGAGCAAAGGCCTCAGCGCCGTGGTCGCCTCTTGGGGGACGACCGCTGACCTGCGCTCCACTCGATAAGGTGCTCGCCCCAGTGTCGCCTCAGGTAAAATACTCTTTGCCCCAGGCTTTGCCGGCAGGCGCACAGCAAGAGGGACCGGTGCGGGGCTGGCGCCAAAGCGCCCGCCATCGCTCAACTTCACATTGGCCGCTTTCCCTCTCTTGACGCCCCATACGCTACCAACGCCTTCGTCAGCTTTTGGAGCTGTCGGTTGTGATCCTGCGCGTTCAAGGCCCGGAACCTGTTCTCGGTATTAGTGTAGACCATTTTATGGAACAATAAGCAAATTTTAATCAGTAATAATAGTATGACCGCACAATACTTCATAACAATAATTATTTAGTATAATGGATTTGTACAGCCATTGTCATGGACCAATGACGCCATGGAACTAGGCACAGAATTTGCGTCGATACCGATCGACAATAAGAAATGTGAGCACCAATGAGCATGCAGAAACGAAATATCGGCCACTGGGGAATTTAAATGAAAGAATCTTTTTCTTTTAATCTACGCAAGTGTTGAAGAACCAACCAGCGGACACAGAACTAATGGATGATCAATTTGTGACTGAAGATTATGTTAAAAAGCTGTACAACGAGAAGTAATTAGTTCATTAACAATCGTTAAATGGAATATTGTAAAACGATTTTATGGGAATATAAAAGTAAGGTGAAAATTCTATTTCACTGTTGAGAGGAAAGTAAGCTAATGCACGTTATTCTTTCTTTCCAGCCTTTTACATTTCTACTGTCTTTCTTTTATTCTCTCTTTTGCAATTGGTTAAGTTTGCTGAATGGGAAAACGTATATGTAGCATAAACTACGTTAAAACTATTGCACGAGTGATATTGCAAATGAGCGCGTGCAACATATGATTTGCATGAACGTTGGACTCGTGAGAGGATGACTGAAAAGGATGTGCTGAAATTTACAACATATGGAGGCCCGAAATAAGGAAATAAGTAGGGTTTCCATACGTCTCAGTTCTTCGAGACTGACTCGGTTTCGAGGGTTGGTAAAAGTGTCCCAGTCAGTTTGGTAAAAACGTAATTTTCACTATGAAATATATCTAACATTTCTGCCTCAGACGAAATAGTAAATTTTGATTTAAAGAGAACACACAGAAAACTGTGCCTAAAAACCATAATTCTGGCGGTCTCTGGTATTATTCACAGTATTATGAAAGAAAAACATTGAAGGTAAAATAACTTCCTTTGAGGGGACATCGCTAATAAATTTTTTGTGGGTATAAGTTGAAAATGGAAAAATAAATGTTTTTCACGAATAATTTCATCGCCGGATGCTGTAAACTGTTTTAAAAATATATATAATAATGATAAATAAATAGAGATATTGTCAGGTATCAATATTTTAATTCAACTAATGATCATTTCGATCCGCGTAAGCGATCATCCTCAGAGATAAAAACAATTATAATGTACAATGTGAAATGAGTTTTTAAAGGTTGGTTTATTGTATAGCAACAGTTATCGTAAGCCACCTGGATCGTACATACCTGCAGCTTCTGGTTCGAAAACAAAGTTCTGCGATTTCTGAGCGTGTGTTCTTG